TGGAGGTACTTCTTCCAGTGGCGGATCTAGGATTTTACTGAATATGGGGGCCACAACATCCTTACATAAGATTTCATGCTGGAAATTCCTTTTAGGCTCATTAGCACCATTAGTGTTTGGCCTTGAAATTGCATCTGCTTATTATTATTGATCATTGCGAAAATAACAGATGAGTAACAGGACAGGAGCACTTCAGGGGGTCAATCAGATTTCAGCAAGGGCTTTGGCCCTGTGGCCCCATCCCTAGAACCATCAATGACTTCTTCTAGTTTTAACGGTGTATGATGGACTGATTTATTGATGAATTTCCATTGCTATGAATATGTCATGTTGTTTGTTGCTCTGATTGGTCCTAGCCCTGTCTAAATTCGTGCAGAGGCAGTTTCAAAGACACCATAGATTCTGCACCTTAACTGAGCTTTTTTATGGGTAGACTACATGCGTTCACATGGATAGGATGGCTTGCCAAGATAACAAAATGTAGCAAGTACTCCAGTATTTAGATCCTGCACTGAGGAGGAGGGGCAGGATACATTGAAAGGAGACTAGGCAGTTTTGGCTTGCTTTTAGCACCCCCAGGGTCCATTTAGTGGAACCAAAAGCAAAACTTATCTCCTCGCTGTGCGTTTGTATTTTTAGCACCTTAATCTAACAGCCTCCTCAGCCTTCATTAGTGTCTACAGGAGTGTTTCAATCAATCAATAAGTTTTTATTTATAAAGCACTTTTCAAGCAAAGTGCTACTCAAAGTGCTTTCAAAATGACCCCAAATTCCCATAACAGTTTAAAACATTAACAGACATATGCACACACACACACACACACACACACACACACACACACACACACACCAGTAAAAAATTTATATTTGGCTGAGTCCAGATGAGCCAAGTAGGGTAAGGCAAGGAAACGCCATCAGAGGAGCCATCTGCCCCGGGAGCATCAGGTCTTCCACCTAAGTCAGGGCGCCCAGAGGAGGGGGAGCATAAACCCCCACCTCCACTTAAACACTACCTATAGAGCACACAGGAAGCTACAGTCGACCACCGCCCCCGGGGCAGAGGGCCACTACCGAGAAAACACTGGATTAAAATGAGTAAAAATATGAAAATAAAAGAGCTAATATAAATGAAAAAAGTAAGAAAATAAGTAATAAATAAAATCATATGGACAGTTAAATAATAATGTTAAATAATGAAACTGTGCTAAAATATAATCATATAAAACATGCAAAGCCAGGAATAAAATATAATCATGTAAAACAAGAAATAAAACTATAGTAAATAATTAGATAAAAGCTAACCTAAATAGGTGGGTCTTGAGCCTGGACTTAAAAACATGAACGTTCTCTGCGGCCCTGAGGTCCTCCGGCAGATCGTTCCAGAGGCGAGGGCCGTAATACTGGAAGGACGCTTTGCTGTGAGTGTGTGCCCTGACTTTAGGGATGACCAGGAGACGCCTGCCACAGGAGCGCAGAGACCGTGAGGGTTCATATGGTAAAAGCCGTTCTGAGAGATAATTCAATTAAATTCAATTCAATTCAAATTCAAAGATACTTCATTAATCCCAGAGGGAAATTAGAGTTTCAGTACACACAATTCTGAGACATGAATTGGTGACTGTGGTCATTCGCAACCCGAGTCCTTAAAGACCCAAGACCCAAGACCATTAAGACACTTAAAAACCATTAGAAGAACCTTAAAATTGACCCTGAAACATACAGGGAGCCAATGCAGTGATTCTAAAACTGGTGTAATGTGCTCCTGCCTCCTGGTCTTCATCAGGACACGTGCTGCTGAGTTTTGTAGAAGTTGTAAGCCTGAGATGCTTTTTGGGAAGACCAGAAAGCAGGGTATTGCAGTAGTCTATTCTACTGGTGATAAAAGCATGCATCAGCATCTCTGTCTTGGCCCGAGAGAGAATGGGGCGGACTCTGGCGATGTTCTTTGGACGATAAAAACCTATTTTTGTGATGTTTTTAATGTGTGGGACGAAAGTCAGCTCAGAGTCAAAGATGACACCCAGGTTCTTCACTTGTTCAGATGGATTAAAAGACTGAGATTGTAGTTTCGGTAAACGTTTCTCTCTCTGGGCCTCAGGACCAACGACTAAAACTTCAGTTTTGTCCTGGTTGAGCTGGAGAAAGTTCTCTGCCATCCAGGATTTGATGTCTAAAATGCAGTTTAAAAGTGCATCCATTGGCCGAATTTCATCACTAAATTTAACAAATAAGCCAGGTTGATGATCTAAACATACAGGAAACGTGCTGGAAGCAGACTGCAGTGCCAGGTATGTGAGCTGAACTCCATAGGGACCGGCACTCTGAAGTTGCAAATGTGATATTCTGGCCACATAGGGCGGTGGGGGTCTAAGCGACATTTCATTAACCCTGTAAAGGGTCATTTTAGCACATGCTGGCTCAAGAAAATGATGACAAAATATGAAAAAGACCCTTTAGGAATGTACTAATCCTTTATGGCGAAAGTCTTTGACCAAAGTAAAAATAGTTTCCCCAATCTAAAAGGTGTCTTCAAAAATAAACTGACTGATAATTCAGTTTTCACTGATAATAAACATCAAGTTAAGTCTGAGAAGGGTTGCATCTCTTTAAGTGAAAAAAAAAGAACAGGATAAGTCTTTTTTTGGTAGATTAACATAATCGTGTAGCGTGTTCTAATAAAGATCTTAAAGCAAGGCTCGACTACTGCAATGCACTGTATGCCGGCCTCAGTCAGGGTGCGGTAGCACGCTTGCAGTTAGTACAAAACTCAGCCGATAGGTTTGTGACGGCACTAGGCGCAGGTAACTTATCACCCCTGTGTTGGCATCCCTTCATTGGCTGCCTGTGCAATATAGGGCAAAATTCAAGGTCTTGGTGCTGGCATACAGGGCCTTACACGGAACTGCTCCAGCATATCTTGGCAGCCTTTTGCATAGGCACGCCTCCTTGCGGGCCCTTCGCTCAGCCGATCGTTCCACGCACTAAGTGCAGGTCACGGGGGGGTGGGGGGGGGGGGACCGTGCGTTCTCTGTGTTGGCACCTGCACTTTGGAACCAGTTGCCTTTGGTGGTGCATCAGTCACCCTCATTGGGAGTTTTTAAGACTTTTAAGACCCATTTTTTTGTCAAGGCATTCCAGGATTAGCTAATTTTACCCGGTTTCGATGCCCCGGCCTCTTAATCTTTTTCAGGACTTTATTTTTTGCTTTAACTCTCCTCTTTTAATTGATTTTATGTTGGTTTTACGATTGTTATATTTTATTCTGATGGTTTTATGTTTTTATTGTGTTGTGTTCAGCACCTTGGGCGTCTGCATTGGTCGCAGAAGGGGCTTTATAAATAAATGAAATGAAAATGAAATGAAACATTTGTTTTATTTACAGGGAAACTTTGAGACTAAAACATGAGTAAGGGTGTTTTACTGTAAAGATGTGCCATGCTTTCAAGTTCCAGCTGCCAAATTGCCTAAATTCTTGTTGTCTCAGTCTCACGCAGGCTTCCCGTGGACCCGCAGAGACACATTACGATTTGCACTGAGCCTGCAGGTCTGTACTCGCTCGGTGTAACTTAATACTCCTTCCCCAGCTCCCTGTGGAGCGGGTATTATGTGAGCAAATTGGATGCTCAAACAGTCAGCCCGTGACCTTCCCTCATCCTGGATGTTGACCCCCGTATAAAGAGAGACATTACATCTCGTTACACAACAACACGGCTCCGGCGCTTCGCTGCAGATAAAGAAAAATGTCTCAATTAAATCTTCCCCGCACACCCCCCTCGCCCTCACCCGTCCAAGAGTTATCGCCGCCCCGGCAGCGCTGATCGCTACACTCACACATCCTCAAAAGTTATTTGACATAAATTGCAGGAGTCACATCATTTCCTGCCACACTCTGAGCGGGATTTACGGCTGATCCCATTGACTGGGAGCTGAACCTTCAATAAAATTCCTCAAGAGTCCCCCCCCCCCCCTTCTCCTCCGGGGTGGGGGCTTCACGAGGCTCACCTATCTACTCTCAATCAGGCCCTGTTCTCTGAACCCAGATTAAACATGCAAATACACACAGGTGGGAGGGCGACGCCAAACACACTTTCATGCACATGTAGTGTGTGTTATAGAGCTGATACGCGGGAGGAAAACTACGCCTGATTGAGTTTTATCACACGAGAGGGGAGTGAAAAGGGGGACTGCATCATTGCTTATCAAAGAAGCGAAGGAGAGAGGAATTACATCAAGCTTTTATTTGAAAACGAGAGGCGAGAGGTGCTTGTGCTCTCTGGAGGGTGGGAGCGAAAGCCTCTCGGAGGGGAGGAGAGTAAAGTCATAAAGCAGCATGTGAACCCTTCAAGGAGATCATTTGAAAGTGAAAATTGTCGAGCATTAAGCAGCAAAAACAACCTTATGGCTGCATTAGTCCCGTTAGGTCTGAGTTAGGGGAATAAAGCGTGCTAATATCTGCAGCCTGGTGATTTTTATCACAACTTTACCCCAAGTTCAGACGCATTTAATCACAAACAGGTGTGAGATTATGCATTTGTCTCTCTCTGGTGGTGAGGGAGTCGTTTTCTTAGATATTTAGCAAAAAATCTCCAGAATGGACTTCAAATAATAATTATATCATTTCTTTTTCCACTGAATCAAACAAATTCTTCACTTTTTTTAGGTACAATTTCCAGTTTAACCAAGTGTTTAAGAGAAAAATGACCTCAGGAGATGAATGAGTGTTTTGTGAGAGTTAAAATGAAGCTTATTGCTAGTCACAACCCACCAAATGATGCAAAAGATAAGTGAAGGCCTTCTTTGGCAGCATCAGCAGCATCAGTGGCTCCAGGGCTTCCAGCTGGGGGTCGGCTGCCACCTCAGCCTGCCTACCAGCACCCTGGCTGGGGGTGGGTGGTGCAGGATCGCCCTGAGGCGTCTCACTTCTGCAACGCTGAGGAAAACTGACTATTTCTGCCTCTCTGCACCGTCTTTGCCTCCATCAGCACTCCTGATTCCACAGATCAAAGCTTAGAAATTTCACGTTTAATAAAAATGAAAGAGACAACATGCATTGCACTGATTTCTTCTTTACATTTATGAATTATTAGCATTAACAGTGTAGTGAAATCTACAGTTTTAAGATCTGCACACGTTATCTATGTACACCGGGAGACACATTTGTGAGGACAGCTGTGATAAATGACCATCAACACAAAATTACAGCTTCATAATTAACCATTTTTACGTTTTTTTTACAACGTGAGCCAAATAGAAAAGAAGACATGCAACAGAGGCTATAGCTGCAGAACTAACAGGATGTAGAAATACTGATGACCCTTTGTTATTAACGCCGTCGCTGACCTAAGAAGGATCAAAAAATATTTAAATATTATTATTATTGCTTTTTATAGGATGGCCTCCTTCAGTTCAGACTGCACTGACATGAACTAGATGCAACACCTGAAAGGGTTCAAACGGGAACAGGCTGAGATCCTTAAACCCGGAGAAAAATCTCCAGTCCTAAAAGATCCGAGAACCATTACGACTAAAAACAAAATCCTTCATATTAGGGCTGAGATTTCAGGATTCGAGGCACCATTTACAAAATGTACATCGCTGTTCTTTTTTTCGTGCGAGTCCTCTGAGAGTTCGTGTGAGCGTGCACCAACGTGATCGCCGCTTTAAGGACACTGATGGATAAACGGAGACGAAAACTGAATACTGCAAAAAATTTAGAGGAATTTAAGAAAATATCCGACAAGCAGGCAGCGAACGGCCTGTGGTGTTATCTATGAGGATGAAAGCAGAGGTGGCCCAAACGCAAAAAATGAATTCATTAGAACCACAAACGCTTTTTTTTGTGTTTGTTTTCCTTTTTTTTGGGGGGGGGGGGGGGGGAGACAAAATCAACAACACACAAACTCTGATCCAGCGGTTGTCGCCATTATTTCTACTGAACCGACCTCCTTCTCAAAGTCCAACAAGCCTTCAAATCACACGAATGAATGAAAAATAAATAATTACAATCAAATCAGATCAAACAGAACCAAAAAGGCACACCTAATAATCACAGAGAGGGATCAGGCAAGACTGGCAAAAAAAAATAAGAAGCTCAAATTAAAGGATGGTAAAAGTGACGCAGTTAGAAAATTAAAGGATGAAGAACAAATACGAGAAAAAAAAATCCCAATTTTTTTTGCGAGTGTAAAATCCGCCTGAATTTTTGTTCCAGTCGTTTCCAGAAAAGCTATTTGGTTGTGTGATAGACGGTCCTTTGGCTATGAGGTTAAGCTGTTCTAGTGTGCACATGCAGCCACTATATACATGTTTATGTTATTGCATGTTTCACTTGGCAGTCCTGCACTTGTTGCACACACGTGGCCGTCGACGGGGGAGTCTAACCTACTGATGCGCGGCTTCGTGCTGGGTGGAATACGCTCTGGAGGGGTCAGAGAGGGAGAAACAGGAAGCTGTCACCAGTAGAAAGAGCGCGACAGGAAGTTGGCGGCTGTGCTGAGCCAGCCCGTGCCGTCTGTGATGGATCCTACACGCGTGACGGCCTTGTCCTGCTCCTGGGACGGGCTCTCGTCCTCTGGCAGGTAGTCGGGGATGTCCGTGTTCTCCTCGACCAGAACCGCAGAGTCCTCCTGGAATGGTACCATCAGCTGGAGGAGGATACAGGAGGTCAAACATGTTGAATAAACAAATGTTTATTATTTAATTTAAAGCTGAATAAAAATATTATCAACTGGTTATTTTGGATGACTGAGTATGGCCTGACACCTGCTGGTAGCTTTGTTTATTGCAACAAGTATCACTTGTCTCAATTATTCTGGAAAAATGTTTAAATTTATTCAGAAATGTCTAATAAAAATATTTTTTATGAATTGTTTAATTTATTCGTTGACTGTTAATTAAGTATTTGAAAGAAACAAACTAAAAATGTACATAAAGTAGGGCAAAAAAGGATTTAGTCGGCTTCTAATTGTGCCAGTTCCCTCACTTAAAAAGATCAGGGGCCTGGAACGTTTCTGGAAGTCTTCACAAGGTTTTCACACACTGTTGCAGGTATTTTGGCCCCTTCCTCCATGCAGATCTCTAGAGCAGTGATGTTTTGGGGCTGTCGCTGGGAAACATAGACTTTCAGCTCCCTCCAAAGATTTTCTACGGAGGCCGTTCCAGGAACTCTATTACCCGGGTAGTGTGTTTGGGATCATTGTCATGCTGAAAGACCGAGCCATGTTTCATCTTCAGTGCTGCTGATGGAAGGATGTTTTCACTCAAAATCTAATGTCACATGGCCTCATTCCTTCTTTCCTTTACACAGAGCAGATCTCCTGGTCTCGTTGCACAAAAACAGCCCCAAAGCATGATGAATCCACCTCCGTGCTTTACAGTAGGTATGGTGTTCTTTAGATGCAGCTCAGCATTCTTTCTCCTCCAAACACGGCGATTAGAGTTTTTACCAAAACGTTCCATTTAGGTTTCATCTGACCATATGACATTCTCCCAGTCCTCTTCTGGATAACCCAAATGCTCTCTAGCAACCTTCAGATGGGCCTGCACATGTTATGGCTTCAGCAGGGGGACACATCTGGCAGTGCAGGAAAACTGCCACCTTAGCCTGCCTTACTGATGGTAGCCGTTGTAACTTTGGTCCCAGCTCTCTGCAGGTCATTCACTAGGTCCCCCGTGTAGTTCTGGGATTGTTGCTCACTGTTCTTGTGATCATTTGGACCCCACGGGGTGAGATCTTGTGTGGAGCCCCTGATCGAGGGAGATTATCAGTGGTCTTGTTTGTCTTCCACTTTCTAATAATTGATCTCACGGTTGTTGTTTTTTTCACACCAAGCTGCTTATCTACTGCAGATTTAGTCTTCCTAGCACTGACAGCTCTTTGTCCTTGGCCATAGTGGAGTGTGACTGTCTGAGGTTGTGGACAGGTCTCTTTTATACTGATAACCAGTCCCAACAGGTGTCATTAACACAGGTAACGAGCAGAGGACAGAAGAAGTTACAGGTCTGTGAGAGCCAGGAATATTGCTTGATTGTGGGAGACCAAATCCTTCTTTTCCACCATAAAAATCAGACAATGTGATTTTCTGGATTTATTTTTTTATCATTTTGTCTCCCATTGTTGACGCATAACTATGATGAAAATTACAGGCCTATCTCATCTTTATAAGTGAGAGAACTTGTGCAAGTGGAGGATGACTAAATGCTTTTCTGCCTTTCTGTATTCGAGGTAAATGATTAAATCACTGTCTGTCTACCCCCCCCCCCCCCCCCCCAGCTGTCCTCACCTCTCCGTCCTCCGTCTTCAACACCTGCTGAGCTGTCAGGACTTTGGTGGAGTTAATCGCTGTCCCCAGCGCCTGTGAGAACAGGTTTGTTAGGAGTTAAAGAGCCAATCTGACTTTTATCCATCCGAACACACAGTGAGAACGCTGCTAACCCAGACAGAAACGGATACCTCGGCTTTGAGGTCAGAGCGGATCCTGACGACACATCGCTTCACAGCCATCTGAAACGTGAAGCTGATGACTCCTCGAATCTTCAGCAAAGCCTCTTCACACAGGCTCCTTCGAGTCTGACAACAGAAAAGAATGGCAAACATTACGGCTAAAGATTCGAAACAAATCAAAAGCTACACACAAAATTCACAAAAAACTCCATTTCTGCATGTATCTTTTCAGGCTTCTGCAGCTTCGTGTGTTTCTGCAGCAATATAATCAGGCTAGGTGCATGATTCCTGCAGAGCAACACTCTACATGTCCAGCTCGACGGCTGACATTTAAAGCCTCATCCTCCCTCTCATCCACCAGGAGGACACTACTGAGACGCTTCCGCAGCACCTGGATTTTTTGGAGTGTTTGGACATGACAAACACACTTACAGAGTCGTCCAGTCCGTCGATGTGGAGCACGATGGTTTTGGCTCTCTTGTTGTTGGAGCCCAGGAAGAAGTGGGCTTTGCGCCGGCAGGAGGCGGCCGCCGCCTCGGCCTGTTCCGCTTCCTCTTTACCGGCCGACTGCAAGATCTCGTAGATCTCAGAGGCCAGCAGTTTGGTCTCCCCCGGCGACGTACTCCTTCAGGGACAGAAGGAATGAAAGAATGCACCAAGTACATAAAAATATCCTACTTTGGTTCCCCGAGTACAAAATAAAATCTATTAATGATGAAAATAAAGGGAAAATTTCTAAAAATCCTAATAATCTGACTCTGAAAAGGACTAAATTAGCTGTGCTTCTTTATTTTTTGTCTTTTTGCTTTTATTTAACGTAGCCAAAGGTCCACTTCTGAGAATTTAGCATATTCTGAATTTCAGTGTGGCTTTTACAACCTTTTTCTGCAAAACAAGACGCAGCAGAGCCTAATGTTTTAGTGGCAGAGGTTCTATGAAGGAAATGAGGTCAACAGCAGCAATAGTAGCCGAACGATCTGTCAGCCTCATAGAAACGTAGGAAAAAACCCTAAATATTCAGGTACTTCATCTATCTGTTGCTGTTGTTCTGCAAACCTCTTTGTTGTTGCACGGTGGAGGATGCTGCAGAAATAAAATACAAATATAATGTCTCCAGAGCTTAATCATGTGCAACTATTGTGTCATTAATTTAAATCCTGCTAAATTAATGTAAACATCACTCAAAAACAAGAAACGCTTTAATGCACCAGCAGCGATTCAAGGTAATGTCACTCTTTCAGCTTTAACCCGGCTCAAACTGACAAATAATCCTGTCCTGACATCATCTTGTCATGAAATGCTGCAGACTAGCATGCAGAGTGCAAAACAAAAAGACAGAATAACACCATACGTTGAGGTTTTATGAAAACAAAGTGCATTCTAAGCACATGTTTCTGCAGAGACTTACTTCTGCATGACGTTCTGCAAACTCAGCATCATGCCCAGCTCGCTCTTCAGCTTCTCCCTGTTGGCTCGACATTCTGCCAGGTATCGCACGGCCTGCAAGGTAGAGGGCAAAAGTGATCTGTCTTGTGTTGAAAGCTCACAAAAGATTTGAAAATATTCATGCACAGCAGCAAGTTGATTGCACAAGCACTACGAAACACACATGCATCGACTTTGTGCTTCTTATATAAAGCCACTTAGATGTGCACTCGCTGTAACAGGTTGTCTGGGAAATATCAAAGCCCTGTTTGTGTTACTTTACATCACTACAAACAGATTATGTCTACAGGGTAGAAGTGTGTGGCTGTTTTTGTGCCAGAAATAAACTAAAAGCTGCAACTAAAATTTGCTCCAGTGATCCTGAACAATAGAGAAGGGGGGAGGGGGGAAATATGTGAGCAGAAAACAGCAAAATCCTGCTGATAGGAGTTTGATCTAACATGATTCTGTACAAAAAAAATTGAGTTTAATGGTGCAAAACTTGTGAATACCAGGTGAATTCAGTGTAATAAATGGCTTACCAACAGAGCAGAGTAGACGACCTGTGGGTTTGGATGGTCGAAGAAAAGGATGAGACCTGGCAGACAGCCCTGGTCCTCGACTATAGCTCTCCGGTTTAGGGGGTCTGCAGCGAGATCTCTGAGCTGGTTCACCACAGTCAGCGCATCCACCTCCGCACTCATAGCGCCTTAAACCTTAATGTCACCAGCATCAAACCAACCTCTTCTCCCTGCAGGAAAAACAAAGTGGGCAAAATTATTGATATGAAAAGACATTAGTTTGTTTTTAATTGGCTGTCAAAGCTGCAGTAAAGATCATAAAAACATTTTAATGTAATTTTAATTTACATTATTTAGTTTTAGTTTCGTCTTTTAATTGCACTTGTTTACACGTTTAAAAAGCAGGGAACGTGCAGATGAATTAATGAGGCTATTACAGACTAATGCATGCTTGATCATTTTGGTTTATTTCTATCCAGAGCTGTAGAAAGAGCTCTCGATAGCTCTGTTTCTACCACTCTGATTTATGTCATCACAGCTCACTGACACGTTGTGCATCATCTGACTGGTGTATGGTTGATTATTTATACACACGCTCAAATCACATAACTAAAATATTTGGCATTATGGCAACTACATTCTAAACTAGCACTGCGTATGTAAACATGTTTCTAATGATTCATTTATGTCAAATTGCTCAATTATGTCAAAGACTTCCTACGACCTCAGTTCAAATCACGCCCTGAACCCGATTCAGAAGCTAGGCTAACAACTAGCGCTACTTCAAGCATACCTTTTTAGTCTGATTTTATCACAATCCCGAAATAAATCCGTATCACTTCAGTCACGTCAGATAAAAACTGACAGAAGAACCAACTGTTATGTTCAGATACCACCTTTAACGCGTGTAATTGAACAGTTTCCTCAAACACAAGGCCCGTCTCTATTATTCCCTGCGCTTCTTTAGCTAGCAACTGTGCACAATACTTGTTTGGGTTTTGTGGCATACCATTGGGTGCAGCTGTTTTGTTATCAGGGACATTCCTTTGGTCGGTTTGGATCTCTGTAATTTAACGCGACAATTCCTTACCGGGACATGCGGGAAGATAAAACGAGCAACCCTTTTGGTTTACAGTCTGATTGGACATTTTTAGTTTGATTGACGGTAATATTCACAAATAAGCAACGAGTTGTGTAGAAATGGTCATAGATGATTGGTGAATTTTAACGTCAATCAAAAATATTTGCCAATGAGATTGTTTAGAGTGTTCCCAGTGATTCCCATAATCCAATTGGCTCGAGCATTTTGCAAACCTCATCCCATGCTACTCCCTCCATACTCCCTGAACATTTTATGTTGTCGACTTGAGAAGGGGTATAAACTCCAGAAAGTTGTCAAGTCAACGTTTATTCTATAAGATTCAACCTTAAACTAAAGTTGTTATTTGGCTTTAATTATAACCGACGCCGGTAAATATTCCCGGTAATCACCGAGTCAGCGGAAGGAAAGTTTGAGTGAGTGAAGCCGCTATTTGTTAGCGTTAGCTAACTTAGCCGCGTTGCCTGCTGACTTCTGAAGTCATGAAAGTCGAGTTCAGCTTTTTTAACGAATAAAACAACTGGATTAAAATGCAGTACCAGGGGGGAAAAGCCTTAAATAATTACTGCGTTTTGTTAAATTTCTAGTATTTAAATGTTTAAACGCTTGTTTGTGTTAGCATGATGACCTTTCAGAGGTAATGTCTGAAATGTGTTGGAAACCAGATGAGCAGCAAAGCCACAAAATGACAGAAAAATAATATTTTTTTTCGTATATCATAAACATCAGCTTACCAAAATTGTGCCCTTTTTTGTTTTACTTGATCAAATAAGATTAAATATTACTTTTTGTCAGGGCAAATCTCTTCCATTTTCATTGTGTTTGTTATATGTCTTTTATTCCAGGTTCCGCTTGCTGATCATGCTGAGCTGTGTTGATTTTATCTGTTCTTGTGCAACAAATCAGCAGGAATGAGTGAAGAGCATGCCAGGACTGAGATGGACCTGGTGTGTTACCGCCTTCAGTGATGCTGCTCAAAGTCCTACATTTGGTTATAAAAATGGAAATATTGTGTTTTTATGTGTGTGCAGGCTTTTGGCTCAGCAAAGCCCTACGGGTCCTCAAGAAGTATCATAAGAAGAATAGCTACAAGTCTTCCCATTAAACCTTGTCCCAGGGTTCATTTTCAGGTAAAGGAAGGTGGAAATTAATATTCATGTTTTAAGATAATGTTGTGGTTTAAAGTTCTTGGAATTTTCTGATCTTTTCCTTCCTGTTTCTACTAAATAACGTCAAAGCAAGGCACACGTCCTCTTCGGTGTTTGTTGATTTCTGCTAATCTGTTTTCATTCGTTGACCAGAAACAGAAGGAGGGAAGTCACAGCAGCAGTTGTGTTTGCATGAACAAGATACTTGCTGTTCATTTAAATGATTTTAATCTCAATCTTTCAAAGATTTCACAAATTTCTGTCTTCAACGCTGTTCTTTTCTTGTCTTCTCTCCTCTTGTCTCCAGCTACCCTCCCTCGCTCTGAGGAATGTCATTTTTCTTCTGTAGGTCAGTTTGTTCAGCGACCTTGAACAACCTTAAGGACCCACTGAGCTTCTTTGTGTTTCTTTGTCTCTGCTATCATATGTTTACTAAAATAACGACTGCTCCTCACATTTCCAAGCCATTTAAACCCCACATGATCTAAAGAAAAGAAAAAGAACATATAGCATGTTAAAACTAAAATGCAGATTAGAAAACTAAATTTGTTCCTCCTTCTTTGACGCATTACCACTTCTAGCTTAGCTTCTCTTTCTGTTACTCTCTCTTCCATAAAGCGAAATGCTTTCAGAAACAAAGACTCACTCTGGAAGGTTTATCAGCATAAATCTTCTCTGATCCACCACAGATGCTGGTATTTGAAGCTCTTTCCTGATAACAAGTGTGAGAGAGCCGCTCCTCTTTCATCCAGACCTTTATTTAAACTCCTTTCTAAAGTATTCACACGTTGAGATTGTAATTTGGTTTCTTGAGGATGTAGGAACAAACTAAGGAGCATTTATTTCTGCTGCTTTGATGTTACTGACAAAGCTGCTAATTATTTACATTAACTAAGATGTTCTTGGTCATTTGGTCTGTAGTTTTTTTTTGTTTTTTTTTTTTGTTTTTTTTTACGTTACAAGTAAATATTTAGATAAAGGGTTTGTCTCTTTGTAACTTTTTAATCTTTCTGATCAGCAAACAAACATCTACATCTGACAGAAATAACCTGAATTATTACAAAATGCAGTTTTCGAATAATAATAATAATTTAAAGGAAATATTTGGAAGCAATAATCTCACAAGATTACTTTTTTTAAGACCTTGAATTTTTATTCTGTAAAATTGTGCATTTTAATTTTTTGTTTTAAAGTACAACAGCAAAGTTTTCATCTGTAAAAATGTCATCTTCAAAAATTCAACAACGACCCAACCCAAAGCGTTCCTCACTCGATCAGTCGAGTAGGTTTTCAGCCAATCAAATTTCACTTCTCCTATCGCCAGGTGTCGATTAGCTCTAGCGGGTCACCTCATTTGTTGTTGAATTTCTTATGGATGAAATGTTTGCTGGTGTACTTGAAGTAAAAAAGGTGAAAGAATAAAAATTTCGTGTCTAAAAAAAAGTCATATTCTGTATTTATAGAAAGACGCAATCCAAACCTAGCTAGCTCTCTGTGAAAACGTAATCACCCTCACACTTAATCAGTAGTTGTTACACCCTCGGAGGCAAAAGCTGCAGTTAACTGTTTGTGACTGTAGAGGAATTCTCTTATTAGCAGATTTGCTTAAAACTTGTCACCGTAGCCTCGTTTCCACTGTCGCAAGTTCTGAGTCATTTTACCGAACCTTCACCGTGTGTGTGCGCGTTTCCTTTTCACTGCGTCGTTCCAGAGATCAACCGAGTACCTGAACTGGGGTATGAACTCTGAAACGACCCGGTAGAGTCGCTGGATGGGACTTGTGGGTTACTTCATGCCGATTGGTTGTAGAAAATGACATCACCAAACAACCGCCATTTTAAAAGTTGGATGAACTGCAGGTGAAGCAGAATAGAAGGATAAAACAAGTGGTAGCATTTAGGCTGATTTAAAATCGCCGTTTCCAAACTTCCAGCGCCGAGAAATGTGGTGGAAATCCCACCCACAACGCCATGAGAGTGCTGTAAAAAACAGAGTTTCTTCTGGTCATTGAACGCTGCTTTTTACATGACATAACCGCTCTCCCCGTGCCCTGAGTAGATGAAACGATGGCGTACTTTCACAAGTAAAACATTTGTAATGTTCGTCGATGCCTGTTGAGACTGGTCAGTGACATCACTCACTGCTGTTAGGGTCCGGATACGCTGACGTTTTAGCAAAGACGTTTTCCCAGAACTCCTATAGTGGAAACTTATTAAAGGGTTTTTCAGCATAAACGGTCTGTTTAGGGTCAAAGGTCAGGCGTTCTCCCACAGGATTTTCTTCAGGTCCTGAGCAAGGCTTGAGTGGATTTTTGAGATCGTTTAGCTTTCTTCCCATCAGTCAGGTTTTTGTTCTAACCCCACGGGTGTGGCACTAATCAGGGCTGTTTCTGAAAAAACGTAGATGGTCACCGAAAATTCATGATTCCACCAAGGAGGAAATTACTTGGATTCTTCTATTCACAAAAAAAAAAAACACACATTTTCTTTTTAAATCTGCACTTTGTTTTTACTCCAGTTGATTTTGTCGGATTATAGTAATTTGGCTGCTAGCCTGAAACATTTAAAGTGCCCAAATGCAATAATTACTCATGAATTTCTTATTTCTAACATTCTATGTGTTGCCTTTTGAAAATGTAAAGTTTAATTTCAATCTTAAATCCTTTTCTGAAGCTAAATTCTCTTTTGGTTTACCTGTCACAGTATCCTTTTTAAACCAAGCTTGTTTTATGTAAAGTGCACCTTCGTGTGCTTTTATCCGCCTTTTCCCTTCGTCCCTGGCAGCTCTTCCCATACACAGAGGGGACCGGCGTTCTTATTGGCACCCGGAAGCAGCACAGCTTTGTGGCCTCACTTGCTGATATCGCCTGGATTGACGGGGAGGAGGAGGATGATGATGATGAAGGCTGTGTTGGAAACCCCAGGTGAGAGCAACTTGTGATCTTAAACACTTGTTGCTTATTTAAAAAATGTAGCCAATGTTGCCTCTCTAAAGCAGGTCAGAGATCCCAGCGGGGCTCATGTTTAGAGTCCAGCGGCCTCAGAGAAAACCCCTCCCTCGTCAGAGGTCTCTGCCCAGCCTGCACCAGGGAGCTCCAGACCCCCAGGGAGCTGCGACTGCGAACGACGAGGCCATCCAGAAGATCGGTGTGCTGGAGACTGAACTCGCCAAACTCAGAGCACAGATAGCTCAGATTGTCATGGCTCAGGAAAAGACCGCACAGTCAGGTATCAAGAAAATTCACTAGTTGAGTTTCACCCGTGTAGCGCTGTAAACCTGCCACTGGGTGGCAGCAGAACCTTAAACGCCACAAAGCTTCTGATCTTATGTTTTCTTGTTTCACCTCAGCTGCTGCTACAGGGGTACCTCCCCCTCCACCTTCTGGTGCCCTTCCTCCTCCCCCACCTCCGCCTCCTCCACCTCTGCCTCCACCAGGACTGCAGCGGACATTTTCAGCCATTGAGTTGATAAAAGAACGCAGAGGGAAGAACACAAACAGTCAGGCGACTCTGGATTCAAAACAAGCAGAAATCCCAAACATGCTTGAGATCTTAAAGGACATCAGCAAAGTGAAGCTGCGATCCGTGCAAAGGTCCGTCTCAGCCTCAGGGATCGGTCCGTTGCTGTGGGATCTACATCATCTGGTTGATACGTGAGATAATCTGTTTGTGTTTTCAGTCGTTCGGTAGATGAAGATACCAGAGCAAAGCCCCAGGAGCCGGCAGACGCAGCCGCTCTCATCGCTGAAGCCCTCAAACGCAAGTTCGCCCATCGTTACCGGCACGGCAGTGACCAGGACGACAAGACCGACTTACCACATCCTGTTCCAGAGGTCAAAGTTCAAACGGAAACCCCTCTGGTGAGAAATCTTTGTTATGTAACGTCCCACATCATTGCACTTTTTATAATTACTTGTTTTTGCTGTTTCTTTCAGTTTGGGCAGCACATGTTGAAGCCGACCGGGAAGAGAAAGTTGGTCTGATTGGGGGAATTTAACCCCTAACCTGTCGATTCAAACGGTCCATTAGCAAGTGCCTCGGTGATCCCGTCAACATTCCCGATTCAGTGTAGAGAGCCCAAATGTCATCCTCGTGGATCATCCTGAGGTGTTTATTTTTGCACTTTTATAACTTAAATCAGCTCCGTTTCATAAACATTCGATGTGAGAGGATTCGTTTCCAGTCAGATGTTTGATAAACATATTGCACATGCAATCGGTTTTGATCCTCGTTTTTAGGGGTGTTCAAAAGCCGACGCTGGCGGAGCACTTTGTGACAGACGGCGTTGCGACGCGCGTACGAATCCTAGATGAATGTATGATTGGGAGTTTATTTTTATGAAGCTTTAGTTTTGTTTTTAAACTGGAATATGTTGTAGAGCGGTCAGGGACTCATTTAAAGGTTCTCTGTCAAACGGAGCGGCATCTGAAAATACTTGAGACTTCTTACGGTTGCCAGTCTGATAGTTGTTAGGTATGAGCTGTTTTAGTTATTCTTTTATTTGCCGTCTAATAACCAAAAACATTCCACTTGATGCCCTGCAGGATTCTGTACACCCTCATGTTTAGCTTTTCACAAGGATGTCCTGCTTTCAGGTTCTTACATACTGGGGAACGTGTACTGGAACGTTAATAGGTCTCACTAAGTAACGCTAAATATTGAATCGGTACCTACCTCTGTAAACGAGTTGCCTTTTGTCCTCTGTTCTGGCATCAGTGGTCTTAATAATGCCTTCTTTAAATAATCTTTATATTTTCGGAGTGTGAAATGAAGTTTGAGGTCACCTCATTTGTAAAATGTTTCGTTATGACGCCTGTAACACTAATGCTGTTTATAAGGGATGGTGGACTGAGTGTGTCCGTTGGAAGAAATTTTAATTTACAGTTCAAGATTTTGTTGAAGAATTGTCCAACAGAAGCTAAATTATTGAAGCTTTTAATAAAAGTTAAACCCTCGTTTTTTTGTCTTTTGTGAAATTTATTCACAACGGTATTAAAGCAGTTTTTTTTTTTTACTTATTTCACAGTGAAGTAATCACAAAATGGTCTGTCTCAATCGTGTTGGCAAGAAAGTTACTTTAAACAGATTTCCTTCTCGGCTTGCTGGAGGGTTGCCAGTTTTTCTCATGAAAAAGCAGAAGAGGGACGTATTCCCTGGTTGCAACATGTCTTGTCATTTGTGAGCCCATAAAGTTGCAAGGTCTTCAACACAAACACTGCACCAGCTATTGTTATGCAACACTAACTGGTGAGAAACAGCAGCATTGTTGACTAAATGGAAGCCAGTAAACAGGAGCGACCCAGAAGGTATTTCTTGTAATCCTAAATTGCCGTAGCCTCCTCACGACAAGTCCCATACCTGGTAAAGAAGGCTAGAGGCTAACGTCAAGCTAACAGTGAATTAGAAATAAGTCAGCTCTAAAAATATCTTGCTACTTTTTAAAAATATGCAATTACAAATAACTCGACATTAAAGTGAAATGTATTTAGCTGCTGATCAACTTACCATGACTCCTAGAATCTTCTGGCTCTGAGCCGTAGTTGGAAAAAGCTGCTGAGAGCGGACTAGTTTAATACATGGACTGAGTACCCAAATTTGACCACAATAGCTGTTTAAATGGATGCAATTAATTGGAATGAACGCCTTTTCAGATCAAAATTTCTTCTATGTAAACATGTCAGACAGAATATGCTGATCTGATTCGGCCAGATCAGAATGAAATTCCATTCCCATTGAGGGAGATGGTTTTGTCCGACCATCATTCATGTACACATACATAAACATACACACTCATTCAGATTATTGGAATAAAATGCCCACTGTGCATGTATGCAACTTTGGCATGACGTATTTCTGGCTTTGCAGCCGCTCAGGACAAGTCGAAAACACGGCGGGAGGTAAACAGAAGTTATCCTGCTCTTCTCTCCTGTGGTGGTGAAGCGTTACGTACCGCTGAGCCTGTGTTAAAGCAATCAGTAAGTTAATGGACAAAGTTACAGAATAAAGCAAGACACTTCACCCTCCTTGCCTGCTAGTGGTGGTCAGAGGGACCAGAGGTGCCTGCGTACGACAGCCTGACCTCTGACAGTGCACCCCAGGGCAGCTGTGGCTACAATGTAGCTCATCACCACCAGTGTGTGACTGGATGACTAGTGTAAAGTACTTTGGAGTCCGCCGACACAGAAAGGCACTAATCGTACTAATGTATTTATCATTTCTGAAAAAACTAAATGCCTTCGATTTTATGAGCTTTTTGGCTAAAAAGCAAACATGGAAATTAGGTTACCAGACAAGTCAAGAATGTTTTTTTTCTATTAAAATTAAGTTAAATTAGTTTCTGGCACAAACATTTGACTGCAAACTCGTGAAATTCAACAACAGGTTTTATTATTCAAATGGTGACTGCAACAGGCATGTATCAAAAAGGTCAATACAGCAAAGCCTTTACAAAATCTGGCTCGACACCGAAGCCCTCCCCCAAAAATGGCCGTCGCAACAAATTGTAAACAGTTTCGTCAACAGTCTTACAGCACTTTACAGCAACATACAAATCAGCTAACGTAAGAAAAGCACCTGTTATCGTTCAAAAAGGCTTCAACACAAACACCATCTGTGCTGCTGTACAGAATCAAAAACAGACGCAAAGAAATGGAATGTTCAAATTCACTCCACTGGTTTGTTTCCGTACAAAAAACAAAGAATAAAAGGACAGAGGGAGTTTTTCCTCACAAAAACCAACTTAAATAAAGGCAAAGGGACTGGACAGTGCATTCAGAGATGAGCACACCATGCACATGACGGGATCAGGAGTCAGTTTGGTCACTTAGCGTAGTTTGTGCATAGTTGTAAGGCATCCGTCGAGCAGTCCGATAGGTTTCATGTGGCTGTGAGAGACATTCTGCTTAGAGGGAGTCTCCTTCAATCTACCCGAGCAACCTCACACCATCTGCAGTCACCTCCTCTCCCTCTAAAATAATAATCTAAAGAAACAGACTGGCAAAAACCCTGAGCGAGTCAAGTTTGCATGGAGCGACGTTCCGGTCCGGCAGGGAAGCTCCCCGGGTTCACTCAGGACCGGACAATGCAAAGGAAAGAAAAACACAAATTTGTATCATAATACCTCCAGCAGGATGTAGAGGAACACAGGTGGAGTCGTTTATGGCATCTGGTTTGTTTGAATAAGGTTCTGCTCATGGCTTCAACAGTAGGATGACAGGTGGGACCAGGGTTTTCTCTTTTTATTCACGTCTGCGCATCGAAGGCAAACCGTGGAGCCGACGTGAGTCGCTTCAGTTCAAGGGGAAAGAGGTGATGCGTAAACAGTCTTCATAGAGGCAGCAGAAGGACTGGGCTTGTCACATTTTTTTCTTCTTTTTTTTATATATATATATGGAAGATTTTTCAATACAAATCCCAACGCGTCATACTTACTCAAAGCTCTCAGGAGGATCCCGTATCCAAATACTCCAGTTGTCTCAGCTCAATTCATTCTTGGATTCTTTGTTTTCAAATGGCACTTCAAAATACCAACAAATGTCTTTTTCAGTCTATACTGCTTTCCTCTTAAAATGCACCCAACAGAAAGCGGCATGTTCGGTCGGGCGTGCCTAAAACACAGTCAACAAATAAATAAAGCAAATAAAAGAAAATACAGCAGTAGCCAAATGAGGTATCTATGTATTGCTCTATGCTGAAAAAAGAGGAAATTTTAAACTTAAATAAATTAAATCAGTGGTTTTGATAAGAGGCTAAAGCAACACAACATAAACGGGGTCTGGGTGGGACCGTCAATGAAGCTCCGAGGCCAGGAGAGAGGGGAGTCGGGGTTCAGGAGGGCGAACGAGGAGTGTCAGGATTCTCTGCTTCCCTGAGGCATTTCTTTGGAGCTGCTTCCTCCTGCGGCGCTAGGCTCCGCCTCCTCGGAGACGGGGGTTTGTTCCTGCTGCAGCCCACCCCAGCTGGCTTTGTTCAGCCCCATGTGGCCCAGCATGGTCTGGGACAGACATGTGTCGGAGAAACGGGCCCACTCTGCAAACAGCGGCTCTGCCACGTACGTCATGAAGTCTGCAGGTGCAGATTTGGTTTAAACATCAGCTACAAACAATAAAAAACAGCAAATATCGATCAAAGCTTCCATACGTGCCTATTTGGATCTTGCCAACAGTGTTTGTCTCTCTGTCACAAAGCGGGCCGACTTCGAGTTTGTGCTTCCTCTCGATGTCTCCTGCGTGAATTAAGCAAATGAAGCCAATTTAAATTCTGTCCAAACCACAAAACTGACAAGACGACAGAAGAACAGACGGATACCCTGCTGGAAGAACTCTCCTGTCACTTTCTCACTCCACTGTTTGCTCAGCTCCCAGGGTCTGCAGGGGTTACAGATGTCTGCACACTTCAGAGCCATCTGCAAAGAGCAGAATCACAATAAGAACCTGCTGCTTCTCAGCCGAGTCATTTTAACATGAACGGTGATGGACCTGCAGGACAAAGTGACGGTGACTGGCGCTGCTCAAGCACAGGTTGCCCTGGTCCAAGTGCATGCGGAACCTGGACAGGTAGTCGTTCTGTCTGCTGATGTCCGTGGCCAGGATTAAGGAGCCCAAATCCCTCTCCATGTTCAGACTGAATCGTCAGAGAATTTAAAAAAAGAACATTTATTTGACTAAAAAGGCGATTCCCCACGAGGCCTCTGTTAGGAGCCACTCACCTGTCGTCAGCGGGTAAATGAGAGAACAGCCCGGTCTCTCTGAGAAGACCCACTGCTGACTTCCAGTGGTGGTTTTCCAGAACTGAGGTATTCTGTTTGTAAAACACTAAACTTAATACACCGTAGGCTTCTCCATCATGAGTTAGGCAGGTTGCATTGTGGGTATTAACGGTCTTACTCTATAGAGCGTGGCTAGATAGTGGTCAGTCTTAATGAGGAAAAGCTGGTTGACCCCAGGATGGTCCAGGTCATGAGTGGCTGCTGCCAGGAGTCCCAGTAGGATGTCGTAGGAGGTTAGAGAATTTGCAAGCTGCATTCACGACCAAAAAAATAGGATGGAGATTAAGAATTCATCATTTTTCCCGATCAGAGAAATGTTTTTAATTTAGGACAAAATCACCCAGATGAATGCCAACACCTCACCATGGGCTCCTGCAGGAAGCAGAACATGGCTTGTGTGACGTCTGCAGCATGAACAGAGTTGTGATATGGGTTGTCGTTGTGGTAGTCCTCCTGGACCAAGACCAGAAACCTCCAGAGCTTGACCATGTCCAACTGGAAGAGCTCCACCAGGCCATACTGGTTCAGCAGGTGGAAGGTCAGGGTGATCAAGCTGTTCCCTGAACAAAAACATCAGTTAGTGACGGCCTCCAGATCCACCCCAGGGTTTTATTACCGAGGATGGTTCAGTGTTTTCCTTTCTGGAGAGTAGGAATCAAATCAAAGCCAGTAACAGAACACGGAGAAGCTGAAAAGTATCTGGAGATGGTCTACTTTGTTCCTAGTACATAAACTAATACACCAGTGAAGTGGAAGAAGGCTGGAGCACTCGGGTCAAAGTAAAAATATTTTATTGGTGCAAATAAATTGGATATTAGGACCAATGTCTGTAGAAAGACAAACTCTTTGGTCTGTGAGGGTAAACGGTCTCCTTGCATTGCGTTCCTCATCAGAAACTCACAAACACAGAAGAGGGAGGATCAAACGTTTACTGGAAACGACGATTAAACGTGACTTGATGACACGAGACTGAGTAAACAGCCTTTTATGCGAAACCAAACCAGTTCTTATAATGAAGCAGTGAACCAGCCCTAGAACCGGAATCTCCATGGTGGGAAAACCCTGAGACACACCGCCATGCTGTCCAATAGATGGCGCCAGTGCAAACACTTTGGAACTTCCGTTTTACTCACCATTTGTCAGCCTATCAAAGAGGAAAACATCAAAATTCCAGCTGCCAACTTTCTCCAGCATGCACTAGAAGAGAGGAGGTAAAGAGTTATGAAGCTTTAAAAACACAAACTTCTGATGTTTTTACTACGTGAAGCTGGGGTGTCTTACTCTAGCCTGTCCGCTGTAGTCTTCGTCGAGGATGGGGAGGGGGATCTGCTGGGTGATTCCCCGCAGCAGGCGGGAGGAGTGCAGGTATCTCTGGAAGCTGAGCAGCCTGTGGACCCTCCTTTCAGTACCGGGACTGGCCGACGAGGAGCCACAGCCCGGGCGAGCTGAGCACACATACAACATGTGTCCAAACATGCAGCATGAGAATCAGGGACATGTTTGTTTTTAAACAGAAGCTCATTAGGGTTGGAGAATCGTCTGGAACGGACGAGCTCGGTGGGTATCTGACACCAACACAGCGATATCCAAACAGTCGCTGCCGACACAGCCGCCTACTCACAAGCCTCTTGACTGGGATCACACAGCAGACACGCTTTGTCAATGGTCTCTCTCTCACACACTTTTAAAGAGCCACTGTGTGTGTATAGACTGTAGCTAAGCTCTGGAAATGCATCCAGATCGCTTTAGGGTCAAAATGTCAACAATAAAACCACAAAATGTATCATACAACTATTTTATAGCTTTTAAATTCATATTTTGTGACTCCCAATCTTTCCTCTGTTGCTGCTACGATTCATGAGGAAAAGGTCTGGGACCAACACCCACCGTGAAGAGTTCGGAAGTCGATGCAGAAGTAGGGGTGCGAGCTCCTTCGTTCCGGTTCAAATCCAACCTGACTTCTTACTCTCACATCTCCTGGAAGAAATTCACACTTATTTCCTCAAGATTCATACGACACAGAAAGAGAAGTGTGGCAGTTTTCCCAAACCAGCTCACTTAGATTTTATTTTTTTATCACTGATTCTCCCCCCCGCCCCCCTTATTGTGCTTAAAGTGCCAGAAGGATGGGATTCACCACTCAACAAAGAGCAAAACAGGACAAAACAAATCAGATTTTAAAGCACTAAAACTGTTAAGTAGGGATGCACCGAGATGAAAATGTGGACCAATACCGATACCCGCTAATATCTCTGTTATACCAATATTACATTAATATAAGAAGGAATGTAAGAACATATCAATACACAGAAATATTGTGATTTTATGTGTAATGACACAGAACCAATTTTTAAAAGAAGTGTATTCATTTTTTATTGAGAATTTACTCGCAAACTTTTCTTTTGTGGGGTGCAATTCTAACCCGACAGCTAGGTGGCAGCAGTGTTTACCACCTTCACTCTGACAGGGCAACAAAATCTTGCACTTGACACACTTGGAGGCATCTGGCCTGAGATTTTCCAATTAGGTTCAGTCAAAACAATCACAATTATCTCACAAGATAATATAGTCTCCCTGTATTGTGGTATATATTGTATTTCCAGATTCTTGCCAATAAACATATATATAAATATAATATAGTATTATTGTTATATACTCACAGCACACACATTTATGCTTCTGAGAGGATTACTATCACGATCATATGACCAAACAGTTGCACATTAGCACCCCACTCCCCTTCTGAAATCAAAACACAAATAGCTACTAGATGTTTGTAAATATTGGCCCAGTTTTATTTATCGGACCGATATGTTAAAAAATGTCTAACGTCGGCCGATGCCAATACCTGGTGCACTCCTACTGCTTAGCTTTTAAAGAGCTTCCCTGTGGGCAGCAGCTCAGACGGACTCTTGGTTTCCAACAACATCCAAAGACAGAACAAGACTTCTTTTGAGGATTTTATTTGTTATTGAACTGACTTTAGTCAAAAACATACATATACTGAATGTTCTCTGGTTTAGTTTCTGTATCTTTAAGATCCACACCTGTAACAGGTGAGACACCTTTTTTAAACACAGCATAGTAGAAGATTTGTGTTTACCTTTTATTGCTGACAAGTTTCAGCTAACGCTGTGGCGTTCCTCATCAGCCGAAACTTGTCAGCAATAAAGGCAAAAACAAATCTATGTGTTTAAAAAAGAATTAAAACAAAGGAAGGATTACACAGAACGAGCGTACAAAAGGGGCGAGACACCTATCGTATGACTGACTTGTCAAAACTGTGGAATCCAAGGTAGCAGATTATTCTTAGTTTGACGTCACTACTGATAACCAGTATTCCTGCATTGTGCGACAAACTGTTTTATGATCAAGTCTGGATGGAAAAACCTGTAAAGTGTCATAATGTGGGAAAGTTTCTTGTGTCTAGACTTAAAGCTTTGGAAGCTGAAGGAGAAAAACATTAACTTTCTTATCTAACAAAATATAAACGGTGCGTGTTAACTTTCTGCACCTGAGTTTCCTCTATTAACTGTACTTTGGAGTCTGGCCAGAAAACCTTCACATGTCTTGTTTTTCTTCATTCCCAATGAAAATAAACAGGAAATGAACCCTAAACGCGGTGAAACCCATCACTTTGGTGCTTACAGCAAACCACAACATGCAAAAGCTGAGATTTAAACGAAAAGTGGTCCGATTTGATCCAGGCCCGGTGTGTGTGTGCGCGCCATTCATGTGCTGGAATAGTCACACACAAACACACACTCCCCATGTCTCAGAAGAGGAAACAGAGAGCATGCAATGCCATGTCAGGACAGTCTGCTCTACTATTAGTGCTCAGAGGCCCTGAGAGCGAGCTAGAGTTAATCTGACGGGTTTTTAGTAGTCAGGCAGAGGAGCTGGCTCCGGACCCCACAGACGGCGGGCAGCTTCGCTTGTAGACTGCAGTCAGGAGCGGTGAGAGTACAGTGAAGTGACAGGATGGCGCTGTGAAGCAGCAAAACGCTAAAAGTACAGATCCAGGCAAGAATGGATACATGAAGGTAAAACCCCCATCAGAGAGAAATGTTATGTCTCCAGCCTTGCATTTCAGATCATCTCATGTATGCATCAAGATTAAAGAGCAAAGTCACGCGTGTGTTCCCACGACCAGCTTTACTTACGTGCAAACAGCTGTTTGAATACTACACAAGCTCCTATCAAAATACCAGAAACTAAGAATTACAATTCAAAGTGATGCTGAACATTTAGTTGATTGGAATGTTTGTGATGTGAGAAGTGAAACCGGGCAAAATAAAACATACTGGTGCATGCATTCCTGGGCAGTGAGTGTGTGCACGCCCGCATGTAAACACATCTGTAGATGCACGTTCAAGGGCTCAGCACGTGTGTGTTTCTGCGTGTCATGGGGTCCATGTTTCCCCCATGGTGCATTAGTGCTGGTTCTCTGGGGTGGATGTAGGTCATGTCATTATAACTGATGTGGCGAAAGCTCTGAGTGCTGCTATTTGAAAGCACGTCAGCATTAAGTTGGCAGACTAAAGCCCAGCGCAAGCAAACACCGGTCTGCATTAGCGCGCCTCTTCTCTCACTCAATTTAATCTAAAAATCTGCACCAACACACACACAGATGCTTTAGGATGATGATGCATGAGCTGGCCATCAGATTTAGCCAAGAAAAATGATTAAAACGCTAAAGGTCCTTCAGTCTACTCAGCAAAAAGCTGCCGTCAAGCTGCGATTGAGCTATTGTGTCAGACTTACTCTGAACAAACAAAAACGACCAAAAATGTAACAACATGAAGTGACAATAGCTCAATGCAGACTCCCACATCTATATTACGCCAGGTTTACACTGTGCATTTTTGGACTGTTGCAAAGGGCCAACGCCAACGTCAAAAGAAAACGTCACCAAAAAGCATTTGTCACTAAAAGCAGACAGAGAAACATGATGCCAAAGATGAACAAGAAAAAGCACCAGCGTTAAATTTCTTTTATTATTATTTTTCTTTCACACATCATCTCCATTGCTGCTAATGTGGATACAGCTTCTCTTGCATCGGACTAAGGTTGGGCGAGCAAACGATTTGATTAATCATCATTAATAGTCTGAGTCCTTTACGGACTATGAATTAGTCTTAGGGATGGGACATTACAAGCTTTCATGTCAAATGTGTGTCTTTGACTAAATTGTTGGTACGCTTCAGCGTGAAGAAATTTTACCAGCAGTTGCTGCACATTGCTCGGTCGATGTTTGGGGTTGCGTACTGAAAAGCAGGGGGAGGGGGGTTCAAACTTCCTAAATATGGCACAACATGAAATTCCAGTGCAACAAAATGAAAAAGATGAACATTTTTATCCTGCCTTAATATCACTGTTACATATACATGGCAACGCCACACAAACCACATTGGGACCCATTTTTTTCTGGTGTTCTGTCAGAACACCTAGCTTGTAGCTAAAATTAATATCAGATTCTGCCAACAAAACGGCTCTAAAACAATTCATATGTAAATGTTTTGCATATTTATTGCAAAATCTTATTTTTCTGCTGCTTCAGTGCTGCAACAACATTATAAGAAATTATTCTACCTTGTGTTTTACTACAGCATTGTTAATGCTTCAGATTATTAAGAATGCGTTGTTTCAGCTGTGAGATTAGTCGATGGAATCAATGAAAAGGAATGTTTGTCGCAGACTCCATGGAAACTTTCAGAGAATCCACAAAAAGTGGCTTTCAGTCGGTTTTGTTACTGACATTTTTTGTGAGCTTAGAAAAGACGGCGTGTCCAACAATTTTGTTTTTCATCTAACAATATTAGAACATGTCAGTAATGTCTGAGGTGTTTTAACAAACACTGTATACTTAATACTCCTGGACAGAGTATGAATTACACAGAGGCTTGTGGGGGAGTTCTGTTTGGCCTCGGCACCCAAAATGCCTTGAACTGGCCCTGGGTGTGTGACAGAGTTTTGAAGGTGATTTGAATTGTATCAAATGTATAAATATGACATGTGTATAACTTATTGTTTTATACCGGTAAAATGTGTAGTGGAGATGCTGTTTTTATTTAACTATTTTCCTGTCCTGTCTGTCTCTCATCTTCCTGCATCTCCTCTAAACTCTCCAGAAAAACGGCTGCCTGGATTCTTACTTTTCAACTCATCCGTTACTTTTGAACTACGCAGATCAAAGGGATCTCCTGATCGCAGAGCAGAGAGCATGTTTCAAGGTGAAATCACCGCAGCACATGATGAGCGAGTGCGTCATGCACGATTAAAAGATAGAATACCAGAGGACATGAACGATCGTGTGTTGATTACAGTTTTTGGTTGCACCACTTTGAGAATGTACCATGCGCAGAACGCAGCGGCATGGAGAGCGCCAACGATCAGCTCTCTGCCGCTCAAAAGAACCCTCGGTAGCTGAGAGTCCATATAAATGATGCAATATAGGTGGAAACATTTTCCCGGCTCTCCCTGGATGTGTAGGAAATCCAGCCCCCCCATAATTAGATCCCTGCTCCTGGATGAAAAACCGGACATTATCAACAATACAAGGACCCCCCCCTATTTTATATATATATATATGTGTGTGTGTGTGTGTGTGTGTGTGTGTAGATTACATTGTATTTAAGTTGTAGGTTTTCTGACACAGCTTGGTCAAACGTTTGGTCAAAATCAGTTCACGGCGGACAATTTTTCTACAACAGCTGAAAACACACAGTGTGAACCAGGCTTTAGGTAGACAGACCTCAGGGGTATAACCAGGCTCTAATCAGATCTATCCTCTACAACCTTATTGATCAACGAGCCTTTGGCCTCTTCCCAGATACATTTGACTCCATCTGACTGGCAGCCATTATCTGAACTGCTTACACTGGAGTTAGTGAGGACAAATGAACCCTTACACACATACAGACATGCAGGATGTACACGAAGACATGTGTACACCAGCCTTCACTCTTTTTACAACTGAATTAAAATCTCAGACAATCACAAACTGATTCAGAAAAGACAGAAAACTCACATTTTACTTTGGTTCTACAACCCCACTATCTAATCCTAATCTCACTGCTATTGACGACATTATGTGATAAAAAAGGACATGATTAAGGGTGGGGTGAGTGTTCCGATATCTGATAAGCATTTGTGTTTAAGTGTGAAGTGATGCAGTGAGAACAGGGAAACACTTACCTAGCATACGAATGTACAGCGCTGTTTGGTCGGCGCTGTCATAGGAGATTGCTCCCCGTCTCTGAAACAAAACAGACCTGATTAGTGTAAACAAATACAACAATTACGTGCGTGTGTGTGTGTGTGTGTGTGTGTGGTGTGTGTGTGTGTGTGTGTGTGTGTGTGTGTATGTGTGTGTGTGTGTATGTGTGTGTGTGTGGTACAGTCCGTCCTTCAGAGAATAGATGCTTAACCAGGAATAATTTGTCCGTTTCATGTACACCCAGTACTTGTACGGGATGGCGCAATGATGCTACTGTTGGTTCTAATATGCATGTACGTACATCGCTGTAACACTGACAAAACATGTCTCCGCTTCATTTCACCGACCTGATATGACTCTGCTATCAGTCATGTGAGAAACACATGCGCTATGAGGAAACAAACACACTGCACCCACATACACACGTTGTTTTACGTAAATTATAGTAGATGATGCCAAGCTGACCTCACCCAGGAAGTTTACTGCGTCATATTTACTTCCCTGTCGAGAGCGCTGCAAAAAAGGAACAGTTGGAAATGCAGAAAGACTGCGGAAGTGGAAATCCAAACAAAAAAAAGACACTTATTCAGGCGTTAGCCTGTAAGTACGATCTGGATGCATTTCAACTGGTATTTAAATTGGTTTTAAAGTAACTGAAAAATGATTTGACTATCTTCTAAAAACGGCCATTAAGAGAGCAGATGCTGCAAAGTTAAGAGGTCATTTTCTGTTAACTCAATAAAATTTGATTTGGATATTTGACTAAGACTTTTTAAACCGCACCCAAATATGAAATCTTGCAGAGGGCGAAGGAAAACTGTGAGGAGGGTTTATCACTCGTGTTGCACCAACAGACCTTTTCCATCTTCTGCAAGAATACCACAGCAACTACTGAGGTTTAGCAAGAGGAGTTTGTGTTTCTTGTGGAAACCGAACTTTGCACAGCTATAATGTCTCAAGGAGTTTTTATAAGGTACAGATTTGTGAAATTAGACAGACTTCCCAAAACAATACATCTTTTGATGATTTTTCAATGGTTGATTTATGCATTCTTAAAATTAATGGACAAAATTTCTAGAGGCAACCAAGGTGCTGAGGATCAGGTCTCTGCTGGTTGGAGATGATGTGGTCCTGTTGGATTCAGCGGGCCATGATCTCCCACTTTCCCTGGAGTGGTTTGCAGCCGAGTGTGAATCAGCTGGGATGAGAATCAGCTCCCCTAAATCTGACATTTGGGATGTGTACTGGGGAAATTTTGGCGATACGATACGCATCACAATACAGGGGAGACTATACAATATATCACGATATATTGCAATAAATTCAGTCAGACGTTATTAGCAATTTTTTTAGACTGAATTTACGGTATGAATATTCAATTAACAGTCCAAGCTGATATTTAACATGTTTAACATGATGGACCTGAACCATAATAGAGTAATTAACATTTCAGTGGTGGAAACACAACCCATTGCACACTGCTGCCAACTAGCAGTGTGTATTGAATTGCACCAAAATAAAAGAAAATACACAAATATTTGCATGTAATTATTCCACTAATTAGAAACACGGCTTTTGAATATTGATATAAATCAATAATATTGCAACAAAAAATATCACGATATATTGCCATATCGATATTTTCTTACATCCCTATCTGAGACTATGGTCTTGAATCTGAAAAGGATAGAATGCCTTCTCTGGGTCAGGGACAATGTCCGGTGGAAGGGGAAGCTCTATGTTTCAATCCTCATCTATAGTCACAAGCTTTAGATAGTGACCGAAAAAACTAGACTGCGGATAAGAGCGGACTAGTTTTGTCTACAAGATGTCTGGTCTCTCCCTTAGTGAAAGAGTCAAAAGCTTGGTCATTTGGGAGGGGCTCAGAGTAGATCCGCTGCAAATCGAAAGAAGCCTCCTGGATGCCTCCTTTGTGAGGGTTTCCACTAGCGCTGTTATGATTAGTCGACGCATCATGATGATGTCCATAAACAAAATAGTCAGCAATAAATTTAATAGTCGACACAGCGTTTATTCTATGGGCATTTTTTTTTATCTTGCCTGCTGCAGCACCTTCTGCTGTTTTCTGCCTTTTTGCTCTAGGCACGTGCGCAGTAGTCGCCATTTGAGTCAGCCACTGCTTTCAGCTCAAGGCACATGCGCATATGCACCATCCAGATCAGCCTTCAAATCAGAGTGACCGGAGAAAGAAGACACTATTGTGCGCCGGCAACACACCTTTAAAAGTTTGGGAGCATATTACAAAGACAAAAGAGAAGCACGTAGAGTGCATAATCTACAAAGTGAAACTTCATGGGTGGACATCGGCATCATGGCAGCGAACGAAGAGTCACATCTGTAAGCTAATTACCTCTTGTTAGCTGCTAACATCAAGAGAAACTTACTCATATTCATAGGTGTAGCAACAACAGTAGTGATGGTGAATTTCTAATCTTTAGAACATATATGTATGTCACGTTACAAATGCTAATGATTTATTTAATCCCGCTATGTTACAGCGTAAAAAAAAAGGCGTTCCTCCTCTTCAATGGACGAGTTTGTTACAAAGCCAAACATGTGCACACCGCAGCAAGCTAACATCCTGACCGAGGCCTTTTTGAGCATGTTGGTCACCGAGATGAGACCCCTGGCCATGCTGAGCGATCGAGGTTTCAAACGGATGATCAAGCAGTTCAACCCAGAATACCACGACAACTACCTACCAGACCAATCCCACTTCTCCACAACGATGGAAAAGAAATATGAAACAACCTTTGAGAATGAGTGTGTGTGTGTGTGTGTGTGTGTGTGTGTGTGTGTGTGTGTGTGTGTGTGTGTGTGTGTGTCTCTGTCTTGCTATTTCTGGACACAAATAAAATAAATATTAGAATTTAATGGATTTTATGATCAAATAAAAAGTTTGCTAACATTGGTTAAAGCATAATTTGTTTCTGTGTTAAATCTTAGCCAACTTTATTTGATAAAACAGAATTAATAATTTGGTGAATAAACTAACTTTTATATAATTTAACTTTAGGTAAAACAGACCCTCAGAGCTGTTGATGGCTCCCTGACCATGCTGATGAGAGGATCAGCCGTGCAACAGAGGCGTACCTACAGTAGGTGTGCGAGTGAAGATTGGAACATCAGAGTAAAGATGCGGGTCGTTTCCTCACACTTGCACAGAAATGACTTAGCCACACTAAGCTGGCTAAATCTTTTCTGTGCATCCCTGCCACTTCCACCCCATCGGAACAGATCTTCTCTGCAGCTGGCAACACCTGCTCTCAAAAGAGAGCAAGCCTTTATCCAGAACATGTCAAAATGCTAACTTTCTTGATTGTGAACAAGTCTTGTGTAGAAAAAAGGCTATTTTAGCTAGATACATTTGTCATTTTTGTGTAAAATTTATTTTTGGTTTTAAGTGCCTACCTCTATTTGACTTTAGCATTTGTATTAACAGGTTACAAAGCTAATTAAAAGTTGTTTGATAAGCTATCATCTTGTATTTAATATTAGATGGCACACAACTGACCACACCTCAAACTAGAAGCTAATGATGGGTTTATTAGAGCATCCTGGTGCAAAAAGCTATAATTTTATACATGACATGATTAGTCGACTAATCATCAACAAAACTGGCGATTAGACGACAAAATAGTCGTTTGTGGCAGCCCTAGTTTCCACACACGTCCAATTGGAATTAGACCTAAAGGAAGACCCAGGACATGCTGGAGGGACTGTGATTCTTGTCTGGCCAGGGAACGCCTTGGGATTCCCACAGAGGAGTCTGCCCAAGTGGCTGCTTAGGTTGCTTCCCCACCGAACTGACCCCAGATAAGGTCCCATTAGTTATCATCACACGCTGGTGAAATTACATCTGCACAGGAGGAGCGGTGAGCTGCAGAAGTGGCTGTGCTCAGAAACTATTTGGTGGATTTAACCCCTCAAGCCAACTCCTTAAAGCTGAGTGTCAATCGGGGAGGCATTGGGTCCCATTTTTAAAGTCTTTGGTATGACTCGATCGTTGATTTGAACCCCGATCTCCTATTCCCAGGGCGGACACTCATACCACTAGACCACTGAGAGGGTAAGACAGATAAGCGGATGATAATGGACTGATGAACTGGGTGAAGTAGCATTAAACCTTTGGAAACAAAACAAAAATATCTTGGAAATGTCACAAATTTTCCAAATACAGATTCTGGATTGGCACTCTTTCATTCTACAATCACAAAAAACAGCTTGACCTTAAAGAAATCTTTCCAATTTTCAAAATTTATCTTACAAAATTAGTCTACATTTCATGTAGATAACAGTTGTAGAGATGCTAAATCAACCTACAGAAATTCTAGAAAATGATCAAGCCTAAATGGAAAAATCATCACAGAAAGAATGTATGATGAAATGTTTTACGTTCTAATGATTAAAAATTCTTCCAACAGAGTCAGACACTACTTTTCAATCATACCCACTAAAGCTTGTGAATGTCGAAAGAATTTGTGAATCACTCAACTCTCTATGACCCTTTAACAAACCCCTCTTCCTGAACTCTGTCTGCACTTTTCTACAATAAAACTATAAGCTTGGGACGATAAAACACAATATTTTTCATTTTATATCGCAGTTTTAATCACTTGTAATTTTATTCGACTATATGAGGAACTTTTGAAAGTAGGACATGTCACAAGGGATCATATCAAACACGTCTGAAACAAGTAGTCCTAAACAGCGGTCACTCACACGGTGGTATCTGAAGCAGCTTTGACTGTGGTAACGGTATATTTGCTTTGTCGACAGCCAGCTGCTCTGGGCTACGCTGAGGTGTTGGCACACCTCACTTTGCACTCTACATATGCTGGCCCCCCTCCACGACAAATGCTCCACTATCATTGTTGGGGCTTCCCTCATGTATGGTGTTTTTATGTTATGCTACGTGGCGGTCAAGCATTAAAAACTTGACCAAAATGTTCAAGCAAGACGGACAAAACATCAGCGTCTGTATCATGTCTTGATGAATCAGTCTGTGCTCTGGGATC